TAGTAGCTTCTTGTTCCTAGTAGCTTCTTGTTACGTTCGTAGCGATGGCCTCCAACCTACTTGCGATGGCCTCCACCCAATAGCATCCTGGTAAACCCGTTTTGGGAGATGATTTTGAAACAGCAGGCTGAGCCCAGAAACGTCCCAATGGCTGAAAGAAGAATGATGAAGAGTGTCACAGTCGAGAACGGGGCCCGTTATTGCTGCGTTCCATGATACGGGTCTCGAGGGGAAAGGGAGTTTTATTGGGTTCCAAGCCTCGAAAATGGCACCTTCGCCGAGGATCGAGCCGATTCCTCATCGGGATACGGATGCGTTCGGTCTGCGCACGTTTGAGCGAAGAGACCGAAGTAGAAGGGTCGAGGGACGAAGCTTCCCTAGTAGCGTCCTTGCTACTAGTGGCGATGCCCTTCAACTTCTTGTTCCTAGTAAGGCCAGGAGCTACGTTCGGGTCCGATCCCCCCGGTCCGTGGTCCACTGAACGGGCACGCCGAACGTTTCGAGGACAGCCGCCGCCTTGGCAGGAGCCATGCGGTGCCGTGCGTCTGGTTTGGGATATTTGAGAAGTGAGAGTCGTTAAAAACAATAAACCCTACATGGCCGTGGCTACAGCGAAATACGCAGGGACCCGCAGGTGGCAGGTTGTTCTACCAAGATGCTTTTGGATGGCATCCTTTTTGTGAGCCATAGCCATAATATGCTTGTGACAGCTGTCAGTTCTGGTCAGCAAGGCTACAGCGCATCTCGGTAAGCCTGGCAGATTCCGGCCCCAGGCTCATTCAAGCATGTCAGATTCATTCAATTTGGCCCATTCAACGAGGATTCGCGCGTCTCTCGTTTTGGCACATGACCCGGGGGCTGTCCTCTCGAATCGCGCGAGGACAGCAACTGGTGCTGCCCTGAGAGGGGCATGAAAGCGTTTTGATGAAGGGATCGGAGTGATACGAGTGATACGCCAGTTCTTTACAAAAGCTCAGTCCCTTACTCTTCGACTATCCTCTACTGATCACTGGTCCACTGCGGTTTGCAACTTGGTACTGCGTCATATTTTTCCGGCACCCTCTTGGGATTTGTCTTCACAGGTATCATTTGAAGACCTTCCCAAAACACTGGGCCTTGTATATCTTTCTTTGAGCGGACATCTTGTCCCTTGACGGTTGTTAGACACGACCGAACCTGCCCTCAAAGGCCAACTCATTGAGGGAGAGGTCGTGGGACACAAGATCGACGGCTCCAAAACCCCCAAATCCTTGGTCGACCTCTCTGGCAGTCCATTTGATGCATCCGTCCCAAGATCTTTCGACCAAAAGCGCTTCCAGTGTCCAACACGATGACCAAGGCTCAACGAGGCCCCACCACCACCACCACCTCCCGAGGCGGTCGTGCTTGGGAGGGGCCTCCTCAGTCAGAGTGGTTTCTGAAGGTTTTCTGGGCCACATGGAACGCACCTGACTCTGACTCACTGAAATGGAAGAGGAAGACTACTGGGGCCCCTTGGAAGACGACTTTCCTTGACGACTTTCAACCAGAAAGACACCAATTTGGGCCAGAACCTTCATGTGACATGCTTTTGGGCTTTCAGAGAGATACCCATGGAACACTGGAACACCGAGCCTTGCCGGATTCTGCGAAGCCACCACCACTCAGATTGGCTGTGACCCGGTAGCGACCGGCTTCGGATCGGATCCGAGCAAACCGAAGGGGTTGGTGGGTCGAAGCCCCATGATGCGGTCGATGTTCGGGCCTGTTCGGAGTGTCCCAGGTAGACCCCAAGCGCACGGCAGGTGAGGGGCGAGGGGAGGGGGATCCGCGAGAAGGATGGCACTTTGCAAATGTGCATAGACTTCATTCTCTTTCGGAAATTGCTGGGCCTCGCTGGTGCCATGCAGATATCCAAGTTCTGTATGAAAGGCATCGCGGTTGTGGGGGTGAAGGAGACACCCCCCCTGACAAGGAAACTCTACGCAACGTTCCTTTAAAGGAACATTTTTGTTTAAAGCAATCTTTCTTCTTTTGCGTCGCATGTAGTAGGGCTGTCAATCAAGGGTAACTTGTTTTTGTTGACGCAGCTTTGTACTGATTTGTAATATATATATATATATATTATATGTATTGAAGGCAATTTAGTGAAAGATAGTGAACGTCATGGAAAAGAAACATCACTAGAGGCCTGTCATGGAAATTTCGAGAGTCTGGCGGAGCAAAAACCGCACCCTGCTGAGACCACAGATGTTGTTGAATTCTTGATGCGTTTGGTCCACATGATGAGTTGAACACTGAGCCACCTTGGATCTCCCTGGGGTGGGAGCGTCGCAACATCCTCTTCTGGCCAGGAGTCAACGTCCCCAGGCGGGAAGAATGCTGGTCTTGATTCAACCCAAAGAAGACCCATTAGGCCTTAGTTTCTGGCAGTCATTGAAACTTGCCTTGGACTTGTTTGTGTGCTGCACCTCATGCCCTCACAGAGAGAATCTGTATATTGGATCCGAGTGGGGTGATTGACTTGCATTTGTCGGATGGGTTTTGTGTCAGGCCCGGGCCCTCCCAACTACTTCAGATGCAGATAGAACACCCCACAGGCACGGGGGCCCAACCGCAGTGTGGGCCACACTAACGACTCATTCGCAGGACATTCGTCAATTCACCTATCTGAATTTGGCCCAGCAGTCCTCAGACCACAGCTGATGTTGAGATACACCAGATCTACTCGATTTTCTGCGCCATGTTGTGTGCTGGCCATTGTTTTCCGGTTCTCCTGACCACGAAAAGGACAAAACACCGGAGTTTTGGAGCCTCTGAGCCTCTCCAAACTGGGCTGAACAAGTGCATCATGTGCATCATGTGCATTTTGATGCTAAGCACTATGGAATCAAATTAACATCAATGTAATAGCCTTTACTGAAGAACCATTGTCTTACTAAAGACATTACAGATCTTTACACTACCACACCAGGTCAACCATTGAAAAAACATGGTCTTTGAAGGCTAGATGGTATCTAGGTGGGTGTTGCATGGCCACAGGTGAAGACTCTGGGAACTTCGAAGCCTTGGAAAAAGAGTGGCATCAGGTGCCGCGACACCCGCCGACACATTGGCCACTGTGGCCCGGACGCACTTCTTGCAAAGTGGGAGCGATGGCCTCCAAGCCAATAGCAGAAGGAACCTAAGAGCAATCGGCTCCAACCTAGTAGCGATGGCCTCCGACCTAATAGCAATGTGTAATGTGTTTTTTTTCCTCAAGGTTCCCTTGGCACGGAACGAAGGAAGAAGCGTGTTGGTCTTGGCAAAGCCTGGTAGAAGGTCTACTCAAACATACTCAAACAGCATGTAGCCATGCGAATGGATGCTGGCAAGCCAGACTGCTTCATTCGGCTGGGATTGAGTTCTGCACCATTCTCTTCGGAGCAACTTTCAAAACCAGCCGAGCAGTGAAAACATTTTTCACATGGAGTTTGCTTCAGTTTGTCAAGGATTTCCCCTAGTAGCTAGAAGCTATTAGGTGGAGGCCATGCCATCGCTACTAGTAACAAGAACTACTAGTCGCTAGAAGCTATTCCACGGCCGATGGCGGCCGGTTCTCTCAGATCCGCAGGCTCCTGCCTCCTCATCGACAGGCGGTTTGACATGGGGTGTCGCTTAGAAGGTGGTCAGAGAGTTAGATCAGAGAGTTAAATCAAATCCATAAACACACACACATGACCTAGGACTACCGGCCTGAAGTCCTTTCACTGGACAAACCCCTCCGTCCACCCAGTATCGGCGACCCGAGACGGCCGCGACCCGAACGCCGACGGACGCGAAATGCCAGGTCGCCGGGGGGTCTGGTGCTCGGAGATGTCCCGCAAGGGATGTCCTGCATACTGAGGGATCGGAAATAGACATGAGATAACAACGTTGAAACATCTTGAAACTGTCCATGTTGTTCTTTGAAGTCGAAAATTCAGTCCAAAAGCAATCGACTGAGGGGACATCAGCAACTTCTTCGGAATCCGCCTCTCTTAGACATTCACTGAAACACGTGCTCCAAAAGCTTATCACAGTACGACTGGACTCCGCGAACGCCGCGCTGTGTTCGCTGCACTGAAACATGCCTGGCGTGCCTGGAACGTGTTTCGGCGCGCCAAGGGGGGAGAACGCTACGATGGCGTGATCTTCAAGATTGGTCCGACCTATGGTTTTATCAGGTGGGAACCGGAGGGAAGCTTCGAGGATTTTCGCCGTTGAGATGACATCGATGGGACATGCGATTTTTGTTCGCTTTGACATGGAGAAGAGGGGGGCGACAAGGGAGACCTTAAGTGTTTTGGGAGTTTATTGGCTATTCGAGTGAAAGAGCGAGATCGCAAGTGAAAGAGTGGGCATGACAGTTAGTTTTGGTCTTAGAATGGGCAGGTGAATCATACCCATTCTAGTTTTGCACATCTTCTTCTCCTTTGTTTTTTTAAGATCACCTCTTCTCACCATGCTTTCCAGCTGGGATGGGAAAGAATGTTGAGATCTGGAGCAGGTTCGGGGACCGGGCTCACCGTGCACATTCGCATTCGTCCATTCGTCTTCGCTTTCGGGCGCGATGTCGGTTCAGGTGGCCTGAATTACCTAGCAATGGCCTCCAATCTAAAGTAAGGTTGAATTTACCTAGACAGAACCGCCCAAGAGGCCTTCCTTGAAGGAACTCCAAGTTGGGAAGGCATCTGCATTATTTGGCTTATCAGAGGCTCAAGAGGGTCAACCTTTTCGAACAGTCAATGGCCTGGAAGGTAAGCCAACACCGTCTCCTCCTTTTGTTGGACCGTCTGCCGACAATCGTCCAGCTGCAGACCTCCATGATCAGGATGCAAGCTCTTGATTGAAGTGCAATCAACACCTCCCATCTGTCCCCAATGTCTCACCCACTCCCAGATCTCCACAAGTCCGGGATCCTGTGTTCGTCGACAGGCGCGAGGGTGGTCGGCCGGTTGCAGCCAGGTTTCCGGTCTGCGGTTTGCGGAAAGAAGACAGGATTCTGCCTGTGACCTTGCCTGTGACCTTCAGATCTCGAGATGATTTGCAATCTCAATGAACAAATTCAGAAAGGCACGTTGGTTTCCAGACAAACACATCTGGGCGATCAGCTCAACTGGGGTCGACCCCGTGACCGCAAGTCAATCGAGACGTATCATTTGGCTCGAAGCGGAGAGCTTTTAGACGGGACCCGACCACTTTGGTTTTAGACATGGCGGCGCCCTTACTTCAGCGTGGGGAAAATGGTTTGATCAAGCAAGAGCAGAAGATGCCAGCGCACCCTGGCAGAGGTCTTGCCAGGTTAGAGACCGTTTTGCAGGCGAGTTGGACTCTTCCACCATACATGGTTCCCCACTTGGGGCCAGAAGGCCGACTTTGGCCATGCAACAGGGATCCACTTTTTGCCAGCACCTACCAACCATTTGCCATACCGCCACACCAGTGGATTTGACCTCAGCCGAGCGACGCGTTGGCGACGCCCGTTCGGCGTGCGGGTTCCGTGGGATCCATCCGATCTGGCGCATGGGCTGGTTTCCGCACCCCGGTCGCCTGCATCCGCACCCTCGTCGCCTGAGGAGCTTTTTTCCGATTGTCATCGGTATTTCAATGACCATGGGGCAAGTGTTGGCCTGGCCCATCTATTTGCTTGGAGACAGAGAGGCTGGGTGGACCGGGGCCCGTGGATTGAGAAGGCGTACGGTCTACAGAGTGGGGGGCCCCATCTGTTGGCCGGTCGAGTCATGATGCGGTTTTGGATCGGTGAAATGCCCCAGTGAACACCACACCTAGCCTATAGCCTGGAACTGCGTTCGACCACCAAAAATCAGTCATGATGGCATATATGGCGTATATGGCCCAAGAAACATGAGCAAGTTTGGCCGACAGGCCGTAATGACCAAAAAAGAGGGTCAATTGATGTCAATGGATATTATATGTAGAAGATTGTAGAAGTAAATTTCGGCAGACACTGGGAAACCTATCAACTGCCTGTATATGGTAACGAGTAACGACCCAAAAAAGCAGTCAAGGCCGTACGGACAAATTTTGGCAGTATTTGCATCTACAGGAGCCTATAGCCAGGACCGCGGAAGGGGTGGTTATTGGACGGAAAATACATAGTCAGGGGTGTCCATAAACCATCCTTTCCGTGGTCCTGGAGCATCATATTTCTCTTGCAGAATCAATTTCCAGATCCGAAAAACCATGGGACTGGGCCTTTGAACATGAGCTTCTGTAGTTCCCTGCCCCCCTTAACCCTCCAATCGGGTGGTGATCCGGGAGTCTCCTTCGAGAAGGCCTATGACAAGAAGATCGACATTCTGGCATCGCTGAACCTGGGTTGGCTGTGCCTTGGCTGGTTAAGCACCTACCTGGTAGGTCGTAAGTGTCTCTCCAGCCTTCTGGGATCGCACCACCAGCTTTCCAGGTTTGACCCATCAGAGCCCTTTCAAACATCCGTACTTGGAAGCATTTGGCAAAGCAATTAAAGAGACATGGGCAAACCTCACCTCGGAGCGAGCTGTTGCCAGAGGTACTTAGCCCTCTTTGTGGTTTACTACACCAAGCAGATCGTGTCCCAGCACGCGTCTTTCGTACGAAACCATGCCAACGTCTCCTTGCCAAATCACACAGTGCACAAGGTCTTTGTCCCTCAAGGACTGCAGAGCGTATTATGAAGCCTACCAACAACAACAACAACACGATGCTGCAGCAGATCCAAATGAGAGATTCCCCGAGGTGCTCCTCTGAAATCCTCATGCTCACCTGTGGATCTTGCAATCCACCACCTTGGTCGATCACGGTCAATCATAGTCGACGACCACGGGGCCAAACACTCATGTGGTGCCCATCCGGATTCCCAGTGCGGATTCGGTGCGTTCTCGCAGGACAAAAGCAACTTCCCTACGTCCTACTCGAGGAGGAGGGTCCGGTGGGCACGGCGAATCGCGCCCAGCGAGGATTCGAGAATCTCATGGAGCAGCTCGACGGGTTCGACGGACGGTCCGGAAAGCCACCGCGCAACCGCCACAGCGACCGCCACAGCGAAGACCAGCAAGCTCCAATGATTCGTGTGGGACAGGGGTGTTTGAAGCTTGAAATCTAATATGATGGCGAGCCACCCAGGATATCAGTATATCTACTTAACACCTGGCTCCCACGGCTATGGGTCAAACATTTCTGACCCCAAATTGGATTGTTTTATTTTGCGAAGACAATTGCGACTTCTCCATTTTGGGGGGATGAACAGATGACGAGAGACATCCTCTACCATTCCATTCACCATGCCAGATGAGGACGCACCCCAGCATTTTCGGTGGTGAGGACGCACCGACCTCCAGCTCTTGTCGTGGGGCGGTCAGTGAAGCGGTCAATGGCCGAGTCGCCAAGGGACGCCCTCCCCGCATCGCCCCGTCCGGACAGCGTGGAGACGGACCTTGGAGAGACAGCACGGCCTGGAGTGGCAAAAAGCACTGAGGTACCTGCCCATGTACTTGGCCTACCTTTGCGCTGTTGGCTTTGTGTCACATGGCAATAAATGACCATCAACTTGCAGACTTGGACATTGCAACTCAAACTCGTTCCTAGCCTAGCTAGGCCAGGTGCTTTATATGATCCTTTCCGGAGTGCCGTCGAACTTGTCGAACTTCTCTTTTCTCATAGAAGTTGTTGGATCAACAACTCAGATGTTTGCTTCCAACATTCTGAAGCAAGTAAGGTACTTGCAGGTTTGTTTCCAACTGGACCACCAACAGTATGATATTTTTTCTAACTCACAAACGGCATGACTGTATGACTGCAGAAACTCGGGGATTCTGTGATCTTTACTCTTGATATACACATCTTGGGTCTGTCCGTTCTTATCTGTAACAGTCAACCTAACCATCCTCCACTGTTGCTGGTAATAGGATAGAAGAACCCATACACATTCCTTGTCACTGCAGCTCATTGCCGCACAGTGCTTCCCTTGTGCTTTCCATTGTGCATCAGCTCTGTCCCACATCGAGGTATCCATTTCCAGTCTTCATGAATGCCTGTGTGTTCTTCCTCGCTCGGGCGAAGTATGCCTTCGACTACACTGCCTCCACGGACGCACGCACTGCTGGCTTCGCGGTCTTTGGCATGGCCCAGGCGTGCCTGGAGGCTCAGAGAAAAGACCGGCCAGCTCAAGGGGTATCCCCAGGGTTTTCCGAAAAATGATCACAGTGACTATGGCTTAAGTATTGCCGGGGTAGTATCCCCATAAGGATCATAGTGGTATATAGTATTATTTCTGCCTTCCCCCAAAAAAACTACCGATCATTTTAGCGTCTCTTGACCAAGCAGCCTCGTAACCTCATGTGGCTACACGGGTGCCTTGTAGATATGTTGGACACAGTCCAAACGAGCAGTTTCCTTCGTGCACAATGAGGGCTTTGCTGCCGACGGGTGAGTGTGTATGTTCTTATGACCCCATGAGTAAACACAACACTTTCCGCCTTTTCACCGTAGCATTGGGCTCGAAGGGCATGCCCATTTGCTCTTCCTGCCAGAAGTGGACGCTTCTGGCGGGAAGTTGTTCCGTCTGCGTCTCGGCAGGTCGACTGGTGGCAGCAGCTACAGGTCCTAGGCTGCCCCCTACGCAAGAGGCCCAGTACAAGGTGACCAAGATTTTGGACGGGGCATTCTATTCAATTCCATCGGGCGCCTACTTCCTGAAGAGGACAGCCCCGAGAGGGGAGTCTCTGCTCCCAGTGAAGGGCCTGCAGCAGACAAGAAGAAGGGAGAGGGTTCTCCCAAGCCACCGACTGACGCCAAGGAGGAAGTCGCAGAGAGCAGTCAGGGAGACGCGAGGCCGAGTCGCGGACGTGCAGGTGAGGAGACCGGTGTTTCGCCCTACTTGCAGCCCAAGGAGGAGTCGGAGAAGAGTACAAAGGGAGTTGAGGAATCTCCCAAAGCCACAGAAGAACGAAAGCCATTGCCAAGGAGAAGGGAAGAAGAGAAGGAAACTACAAAGAGATCAAGATCCCCCAAACGCAGACAGGAGAAAGACAAAAGGAGACGCAGGAGAGGAGATTCAAGATCAGCTGAGGTGAGTGGTTCAGAAGTGAGGAGACAAAAAAAGGGAGCAAGTAGACTCCCAGAAGGAGAAGAAGGAGCGTGCAGAGGAGGCAGCGACAAGAGAACCCCCCCATTGAGCGAGAGCCTTACCTACGACCGAGGCCCACACAGAGGAGGCCAAGGTCACCGCATACCCCAGAGCGACCTCCACCGCAGCGATCATCAGGATCGAAAGGAGTGAGCAAAGGTAAGCCACAAGGTTCTGGTTGGAGGGGCCGCGTGCCACACTCAGACCACCCGCGTTGGACCCAAGGAACCAACAAGGGGATTACAAAGAGAGCGAAGCAGGAGCTTCAAGACAGAAAACACCGCGGCCGAGGAGGCCGCTACCATTGGTAAGGGAAGCAATGGCTCCCAAAGTACGACGACCTGCAGCCGCAGTTCCTCGAGTTCGACCTCGCCGTCGACCAGCAGCAGGAGGGGAGGAAGACCTCCCAGTGGAGAAGCTCTATTCGTGGGGTGATCTCACGATGGAAAAGCTGGAGGGCCTCGACGTGATTGAGCTTGACAGAGCATCGTACTACAATGCATCCGTGCATGTGGCTGGCCGTGTGCGGGCCCTGCACCCAACGGATGGCCGGATGGAGTTTGTTCTGACAGGCACCCAGACAGAACGCGTGATGGAGACTTTTGGAGGTGGTGAAGACCGGACCGTCACAGTCCACCTCTGCAAGGAGGGTTGCGCGCAGCTGGAGACTGGGTTGAAGCTGTTCCATGCCCGGGGATTCTGGGATTGCTCGGTATCCCCCAAGGAGTGGCAGATGAATCTCTCGGAGAAGGCCGTCGCAGAGTTTGATGAGCTATCTTCCTTGAGGAGGCTGGCTGAGGAGCGAGGC